TATAATTTTGGGAAATGAACTCTCCTAAATTTGGTTAATAAAATTCAGGGTGAGGGAGGTTGTTTTTAAGAAAGATGTTAAGTGGAAATTATTTTCCACACTAAACGCTGGATTTTGTCAGATGCTTTTTCTGTGTCTATTGAGATAGTCATATGATTTTTGTTTTTAATTGTTTATGTGGTGTATCACATTTATTGACTTGCATATGTTAAACCAGCCCTGCACCCCTGGCATGAAACCCACCTGATCATGGTGTATTATCTTTTTGATATGCTGTTGGATTTGGTTAGTTAGTATTTTGTTGAGGATTTTTGCATCTCTGTTTCTGTATCTTTTAAGAGGAGCATTCAGGCCATCTGTTCATCTGGAAATATTGGTCGGTAGTTTTCTTTTTTCATTATGTCATTTCCTGGTTTTGGAATTAGGGTGATACTGGCTTCATTGAATGATTTAGGGAGGATTCCCTGCTTACCTGTCTTTTGGAATAGTTTCAGTAGGATTGGTACCAATTCTTCTTTGGTGTCTGATAGAGTTCAGCTGTGAATCTATCTGGTCCTAGACTTTTGGTTTGTTGGCAATTTTTTTATTGCTGTTTCAATCATGCTATTTGTTATTGGTCTGTTCAGTTTCTGTTTCTTTCTGGTTTAAACTAGAAGGTTGGAGATTTCTAGGAATTTATCCGTTTTTCTCTAGGTTTTCTAGTTTGTGTGCATAAATGTGTTCATAGTAGCCTTGAACGATCGTTTGTATTTCTTTGGTGTCAGTTGTAGTATTTCCCATTTCATTTCTAATTGAGCTTATTCAGTTCTTCTCTCCTTTTTCTGGTTAATCTCGCTAATGGTATATTGATTTTATTTTTCCACAGAACCAGCTTTTAGTTTCATTTATCTTTTGTAGGGTTTGTTTCAGTTTTATTCAGCTCTGCTCTGGTCTTTGTTATTTCTTTTATTCTGCTGGGTTTGATTTGTTCTTGTTTCTCTAGTTTCTTGGGGTGTGTTCTTTCAGACTTTCTGATGTAGACATTTAATGCTATGAACTTACTAAGAGTAGTGCCACTTTTGCTGTATCCCAGAGGTTTTGATAGGTTGTATCACTATTGTTCAGTTCAAAAAAATCTTTTAATTTCCATCTTGATTTCATTGTTGATGCAAAGATCATTCAAGAGCAGATTATTAAATTTCCATGTATTTATTTGTATACAGTTTTGAGGGTTCCTTTTGAAGTTAATTTCCAATTGTATTCCACTGTGATGTGAGAGAGATGGTAACAATTTCAGTTTTCTTTTTTCTTTTTTTTTTTTTGAGATGGAGTTTCGCTCTTGTTGCCCAGGCTACAGTGCAATGGCACATTCTCGGCTCACTGCAACCTCCGCCTCCTGGGTTCAAATGATTCTCCTGTCTCAGCCTCCCAAGTAGCTGGGATTACAGGCATGTGCCACCATGCCTGGCTAATTTTTTTTGTATTTAGTAGAGATGGGGTTTCACCATGTTGGCCAGGATGGTCTCGATCTCTTGACCTCACCCGCCTCAGCCTCCCAAAGTGCTGGGATTACAGGTGTGAGCCACCACACCCGGCCTCCAATTTCAGTTTTCTTAAGTTTATTGAGACTTGTTTTGTGGCCTACCATATGGTCTATCCTTGAGAATGCTTCATGTGCTGATGAAAAGAATGTATATTCTGCAGTTGTTGGGTAGAATGTTCTGTAGGTATCTGTTAAGACCCTTTGTTCTAGGATACAGTTTAAGTCTGTTGTTTCTTTGTTGACTTTCTGTCTTAATGACCTGACTAGTGCAGTCAGTGGAGTATTGAAGTCTCCCACTATTACTGTGTTGCCATCTATCTAACTTCTTAGGTCTAGTAGTAATGGTTTTATTCATTTGGGAGTTCTGGTGGTAGATGCATATATGTTTAGGATTGTGATATTTCTTGTTGGATTAATTGTTTTACTATTATATAATGTTCCTCTGTCTTTTTTTAACTATTGTTGCTTTAATGTCTGTTTTGTCTGTTATAAGAATAGCTACTCCTGCTTGCTTTTGGTTTCCATTTGCACGGACTATCTTTTTCCACCCCTTTACCTTAAGTTTATGTGAGTCCTTATTGTCAGGTGGAGTCTCTTGAACACTGCAGATACTTGGTTGGTGAATTTTTATCCATTCTGACATTCCGTATCTTTTAAGAGGAGCATTTAGGCCATTTACATCCAATGTTAGTATTGAGATGTGAGGTACTGTTCTATTCATCATGCTAGTTATTGCTTGAATACTTTTGTTTTGTTTTGTTTATTTGTTTTTCATTGTGTTATTGTTTTATAGGCCCTGTAAGATTTATGCTTTAAGGAGGTTCTATTTTGCTGTACTTCAATGTTTCATTTCAACATTTAGAATTCCTAGGCCGGGTGTGGTGGCTCACACCTGTAATCCCAGCACTTTGGGAGGCCCAGCGGGCATCACCTGAGGTCAGGAGTTCAGACTAGCCTGGCAATCATGGCAAAACCCCATCTCTAAAAAAATACAAAAATTAGCCAGCCGTCGTGGCAAGTGCCTGTAATCCCAGCTACTCAGAGGCACAAAAATCACTTGAACTCATTAGACAGAGGTTGCAGTGAGCCAAGATCACACCATTGTACTCCTGCCTGGGCAACAGAGTGAGACTCCATCTCAAATGAAAAAAAAATTTAGAACTCCTTTCAGCATTTCTTATAGTGCTTGCTTGGTAGTGGCAAATTCTCTCAGCATTTGTTTGTCTGAAAAAGACATCTCTCCTTCATTTATGAAGCTTAGTTTTGTTGATACCAAATTCTTGGCTGATAATTATTTTGTTTAAGGAAGCTAAAAATACGGCCCCAATTCCCTCTGGCTTGTATAGTTTCTGCTGAGAAATTGTTGTTAATCTGATAGGTTTTCCTTTATAGGTTACCTGATGCTTCTGCCTCACAGCTTTCAAGATTCTTTTCTTCATCCTGACTGTAGATAAACTGATGACTCTGCCTACGTGATGTTCTTTTCATGATGAATTTCCCGGGTGTTTTAATTTAGATTGGTTTTCACCTTTCTCGCGTACTTCCTTGAGTAGCTTAATCAACCTGAATTCTTTATCTGGCAATTCAGAGAGTTCTTCCTGGTTTGGATCCATTGCTGGAGAGTTAGTGTGATCTCTTGGAGGTGTTATAGAATCTTGTTTTGTCACATTACTAGAATTACTTTTCTGGTTCCTTCTCATTTGGGTAGACTGTTTCACTGGAAAGATCTGGAACTCAAGGGCTGCTGTTCAGATTCTTTTTTCCCATAGGGTGATCCCTTATTATGTTATTCTCCCCCTCCCCCTAGGGACAGGGCTTCCTGAGAGCCAGTCTGCAGTGATTATTATTGCCCTTCTGGGTCTAGCCACCCAGTAGGGCTACCATGCTCCATGCTGGTGCTGGGGAATGTCTGTAAAGAGTCCTGTTACGTCTTCAGGCCTCCTCCCAGCCATGGATACCAGTACCTGCTCTGGTGGAGGTAGCAGGGCAGTAAAGTGGACTCTGTGTGAGTCCTTGGTTGTAGTTTTGTTTAGTGCACTGGTTTTCTCAAATGCTGGTTTTGCTAGCAGTGAAGTTGTGATGTGGAGAGACTCAGGACCTCTGGTTAGTCAGGGTGTTGCAGGCTGTGGAATTAACTGTTTCTCCTTCTTTGGCGCAGGGTTGTTCTGTTATTATTTGCTGTGATGACTTGAGTTGGTTGGACTCCAGGCAGGAGGTGGTGCTTTCAAGAGACAACCAGCTGCCATAGTAAATTGCCCTACCTTGGCCTGGATAAGTACTCAGGGTTTCTCAGGTGATGGGCAGGGTCATAGAGCTCCTAAGAGTTTGTCTTTTGTTTTCAGAGTTTTTTGGCTGTCTGTGGAGTTTGTAGTGGCAGGCCACTTCTTTCAAAGAGTCTATGAATTCTTCCAATTTTCCTGGTATGTTCCTGTTGTGGTTCTTGGAGCAAAAGTTCACAGTGTGAGTCTCCACACGCTGTTCTGTCCATCCATGTTGGAGCTGCTCATTAGTCCTGTCTCCTATCTGACATTTTCCTCCCCAGCACAGCAGACCAACATGTTTGCCTCTTCTCTGTTTTGTTCTCTCCAGGGCCCCAACAGTTTGGATGGTGCCCACTCACATTTGAATGTAGAGCTTCCTTACCTAGTCCAGAGATTCACATGCTAATCTCTGCTCATTCATTTTTAAACCATTCAATTATAAAAGCCTTGGATTTTTCAGACACCTGTTACCTTTTTCCCTGTCTCAACCATTATTCTTTGCCATTTAACCCTTGCAATAATCCATGCTCTTTTATTAACTTTATTTTCCCTTAAGATCTGCCATTTTGCTGCCAGGAAAAAACAATTCTAATGTCAAAAACATTTTACACGAAAGGATATGAACTTTTCTTTCTAAAGTGATCTTACAAGATTATGCTTCACAGTGTAACACAAGGTGCTGATAAAAAGAAAAAAGTGCTATATCAGGTGATAGTCTTAAAAGTTTTAAAAAGTTTCATTTACATATTGGTGGGAGTCTCAGAGATTCATGCCTACAAAACTTTATCAGCTCTTTCAGATACTGCTGTCAATTTCATAGTCCCCTAATAACTAGATGAATTAACTAGATACATATTTAAATTATAATCTGAAAATTATATCTTCAGATTTTGTCTTCCCTTGAGTTATCTAAGATCATATTTTAATATTACCGTAAGATGAGATATAAGGCAGTTTTTCTCAAGATCATCCCTCAGAAAAGAAGTGTTGCTTTACCTCAAGTCCTACTGAGCCTATGATTAAGATACTGGTAAAAGGAATTTGAGGAGAAGAAAAAAATTATTTTAATGTTAAAAAAAAGATGCTCTCTCAGCTTGTTTCAAATAATAAAATACTGTTTCATAAGACATCAGCCTGAAAGGATTCCAAATCTCAATTGATATTTTTAGATGCAGATTAAAGAATACCCGACATAATTGATTGAAACAAGAGACAAGAAATTTTAAACAGATTTATTAATTTACCAGTTGATCATCCTACATTTGCAGGTGTTAAATATCCTTAAGAATAAACATACCTTATGGAAACTTTAATCAGCCTGGGCAACATAGTGAGACCACATCTCTACAAAAAATCAAAAATTAGCCAAGCATGGTAGTATACACCTGAGGCTGAGGTAGGGGGGAAAAAGAAAGAAATTTTAAGAAACCAGTGCAGTACAGAAGTACCTACTTATTGAAGTCACAGATACATCACTACAATATGAATAAAAACAAAAAAACCTTCTTAATGCATGCAAATGTGTATTATACAGTTAAGTAACATACATTTCACCTTAATAAAAATGAAGATGAAATGCTTTATAAACTATTTTATCAAAAGTGATTCTGATACAAAGACTTGTATATGATTGCTGATAGTGACTATTAATGACAAAAAATGGTCACAACCCAAATGTCCCTTAACTGATAAGCAAAATGTGGTATATCTATACAGTGGAGTATTATGCAGCCCACAAAATGGCATGGAGTACTGATATGTGCTACAACATGGATGAGCCTCAGAAACGTTATGCAAAATGAAAAAGCCAGATACAGGGAAACCACATGTCATATGATCCCATTTATATGAAATAGCCAGAAAAGGCAAGTCATCAAAACAAGATAGATTGAGGATGGGTTAGAGGACTACAAATGGCACCAGGGATCTTTTCAAGTTGATGGAAATATTCTAAAATCAGACTGGTTGTAGTTGAACAAGTCTGTAAATTTACTAAAATGCATTGAATTAATACACTTAACAGCTGGATGTTATGATGTGCAATTATTCTTTAGTAAAGGTGTTTTTTGTTTTTGTTTTTGTTTTTTTTTGAGATGGAGTCTCACTCTGTCACCCAGGCTGGAGTGCAGTGGCACAATTTTGGCTCACTGCAGCTCTGCCTCAGCCGCCCACAGAGCTGGGACTATAGGCACCCGCCACCATCTCAGGCTAATTTTTGTATTTTTAGTAAAGATGGGGTTTCCCCATATTGGCTGGGCTGGTCTCAAACTCCTAACCTTGTGATCTGCCCCCCTTGGCCTCCCAAAGTGCTGGGATTACAGGCGTGAACCACCATGCCCGGCCTAGTAAAGTTCTCTTTAAAATGTGGCTCTAGTATTGCTAGAGACATTGATATCAAAAATGCTGTTTGAATAATTGTTTCAAAAATAAAGTGAAACTTTTCAGGAAAAGTTTATATATTCAGTACTATAGGTAAGTTTTTTTTTTTTTTAAGAAGAAACTCTTTATTTTCAGTGTTATAAACAGAACTTCATTTATAGTCTAATAAACATACTTTCAGTTTCTTTACAAATTAAAGAATAAGACCCCTGAATTAAATTTTATGTTTTGTCTTAAATATTTCAAAACACATCCATGTCATCTTGATAATTTTACTCTTCCTTGATATGATGTTAGTTCCCTTATGGGAAACTTCGATCTGTGGCCGTATTTGAAAAGCAAGAAGACACTATTGGCATCTGAACAGTTCTATTAGGATGTTAAATTTTTAAAAATAGTATATACTAACTTTTGAATTATATTTATTTATTTAAATGCCAGCTACCTAATGGTGCTATAAGATTATTGCAATTGTGTTTTTACCCAAGTATAATTTTTAAAATAAAATCATGTTGCATTGGTTTTTTTCTAAAATCATTGGATTTGTAATTCAATAATGTAGACTTATAATTTATTTTAGGGCCTAGAAAAAAGAAAAGAAACTTCAGTGATTCCAGCCTATTTGTATCTGCTGAAGAGGTAAGGCTAATACACTGCTTTAAGCTAGCTATTCTACATTATTTTTGGTTTGCTAATATATTTATCTTTTTTTTTTTTTAAGTTTGGCCATCTATTGGATGAAAATATGGGATCCAAGTTTGATAACATTGGCATGAATGCCATGGCTAACAAAGATAATGCAAGTAAGTAACTTAAATTTTTTTATTGACATTTTAAAAACAGCTTTGGCTTAGGACGTCAGAAGATAGAAATTTTTTTTTTCTTTTTTTGAGGCAAAGTCTCGCTCTGTCACCCAGGCTAGAGTGCAGTGGTATGATCTCAGCTCATTGCAACTTCTGCCTCCCAGGTTCAAGCAATTCTCCTGCCTCAGCTCCCAAGTGGTAGCTGGCATTACGGGCATAAACCACCATGTCCAGCTACTTTCTGTATTTTTAGTAGAGAAGGGGTTTCACGATTTTGACCAGGCTGATCTTGAACTCAAGTGACCCACCCACCTCAGCCTCCCAAAGTGCTGGGATTACAAGCATGAACCACCAGGCCTGGCTGATAGGAATATTTTTGAAAACCTTTTCATGGTACTTTACAACCATGGCTTTTTCTTCTCTCAGAGAGAATATAAGATTAAAAAGTTTATACTACAGCAAAAAAAAAACCTGCAGACTACAAAAATTACTTTTTTTTAGGGAGGTAGGCCATTTTTATATAGCATGAATTTGCTAAGTAACTTTACATGTTTATAGACATTTTAATTATCTCTGATATTGACTGTTAATTGGTTTTTATTTCACCAGTAAAAGTGCTTAGGGAAAGAAAATCTTTAGAGCATCTGTTTATTTTCATTCCTTAGTCATTTCTTAATGAAACATTAATCTTTGACAATAAATATAAGAAGAAAAGCAACAAACAAGAAGTAGTGAATTTGTATTGTGGGTGGGAAACTGCAGGCCAAGGCAGGCTAGAAGTTCCTGTGACTCAGCAGCATGTTCTGTGGGACCGCCAACAGTGGGATAGTACACTCATCTTTTCTTCTTCTCCCAAAGGTCTCAAACAGCTTAGATGGGAGGCCGAACGTGATGACTGGCTTCACAACAGAGATGTAAAAAGTATCATCAAGAAAAAGAAAAATTTTAAAAAGAAGAGGATTAAAACCACTCAAAAAACTAAAAAGCAAAGGAAATGAGAGCTATTAATGTAAATTACAAATTAAAATTTTACTTACATCTAATTTTTGCTCTCCAACCATTTTTTTTCATCTAGCTCTCTGATTCCATATATTCCAGACATCTCAGTGGATCTGTAATAAACTATAAATAAAATAGCTGTCATTTATAAAGTAACATGGAAATATTGTTAAACTTCTTGAAAAAAATGGAAATATTGCTACATAACAAAATGAAAAAGAGGACAGAATTACAGACTTGATGTATAAGCCCTGGCATCTCTAATCATTGTAGTGAGCACTATTTAGTATAACTGTGTCCTCTTGTTCAGTCATTATCTACTTGACAGAGAAAGAGACTGCTCCAAGAAGTTAGCAACCCTGAAATGAAACTGATCTTTTAAAACCAAAGGTTTAAACTCTGGTTTGATTCTATCACCTCATATATCAGTGGTTCCAGAATTTACATTCTTAACCACTAGGATTCAGAATTCAGCCCATTATCTAATTCTCTTCTCACTAGAATAGATGAGAATGTACTCTAGTCTCAGAACTAAAATAGATGTGAATAGTATTGTTAGAAATTGACATACCACAAAATAAAATCATTTAGTTCTTAGTTCCTTGTAAAGAAATTAATTACTACTTAATTTATAGGTTACCTGAAAAAGCTGTTTAATACTTATTTTTACTTAAGGAAAAACATACCTTTCAAGATGAAGGGAAATTTCTTGCTCATTGTTTGCCTAAAATCTGATGGGGGAAAAAAAAGGATGTCTTGAAATTAGATTCAAACAAATTCATTACATTAATACAGCCACAATTTAATGCTAGCTTTAGGGTCCATATGATGGGAACCATATAGATTAGAAATTTGTTTAAAAGTCCTTTGGGTAATCCAGGAACTATCTCCTTTTGGGTAAGATCTAGGCTGCACTTGCCTTAACATGATAGCCTTAGAGTTTTTAAATTTTCACCTGTATATCCAATGTAATTTTTTTTTTTTTTGAGATGGAGTTTTGCTTTTGTTGCCCAGGCTGGAGTGCAATGCGGCGATCTCGGCTCACCGCAACCCCCACCTCCCAGGTTCAAGCAATTCTCCTGCTTCAGCCTCCCAAATAGCTGGTATTACAGGCATGCATCACCATGCCCAGCTAATTTTGTGTTTTTAGTAGAGACGGGGTTTATTCATGTTAGTCAAGCTGGTCTTGAACTCCTAACCTCAGGTGATCTGCTCACCTTGGCCTCCCAAAGTACTGGGATTACAGGCGTGAGCCACCACACCCAGCGCCAATGTTTATTTTTAAATGGTACCTGAAAGCAGATTTTGAGTGTGAATGTGTAGCTCCCTATGTAAGTTTATGAATTATTTTTATGAATGTTATTTTACCTCTATAAGAAATCACAAATAAGATCATTACCAGTTTTGGTTTTAGTTTTGTTTTGTTTTGCAAGATGAGACTTGTTCTGTCGCCCAGGCTGAAGTGCAGTGGTGCGATCTTGGCTCACTGCAACCTCAGCCTCCCGGATTCAAGTGATTCTCCTGCCTCTGGCTCCTGAGTAGCTGGAATTACAGGCACTTGCCGCCACGCCTAGCTAATTTTTGTATTCTTAGTAGAGAGGAGGTTTCACCATGTTGGCCAGGCTGGTCTCAAAGTCTTGACATGTCGTGATCTGCCTACCTCAGCCTCCCAAAGTGCTGGGATTATAGGCATGAGCCACCATGCCCAGCCAGTTTGTTTTGTTTTGTTTTGTTTAATAATAACTATTTTTGGTTTTAGGTTTTGTTTTTGTCTTTTTGAGACAAGATCTCTCTCTGTTGCCCGGGCTGCAGAAGAGTGGCACAATCACAGCCCACCACAGCCTAGATGCCCCCTGGGCTGGGCTCAAGCAAGCTGCCTACCTCAGCCAAGTTTGAGTAGCTGGGACAGGGCTCAAGGGAGCCTCCTGCCTCAACCTCCCGAGTAGCTGGGACTACAGGAGCATACCACCACGCCCAGGTTTTTTTTTTGTCGGTTGTTTTTTTTTTTTAAGATACAGGTTCTTGCTATGTTACCCAGACTAGGCTCAAGCAATCCTCCCACTTTGGCCTCCCAAAGTGCTGGAATTAAAGTGCGAGAGCCACCACATCCAGCGATTACCAGTTTTTAAAATTGATCCCAGATTTTAATTTGCTTTTAAATACTTTTGGGATGTTTTCTTTATATCCTTCCTTCTAGTTTAAAAGAAAAGAGATTTTATGAGTATCCAGTAGCATATTGGTAGAGCATTCCAACAAAGTATGCTGAGGAAGACCATGTGACAAGTTTCAAAGATGGCTATCACCCTAGGACTGTGCCCTGTTTTAGAGAAAAATCACTTCCTAATTTAAAAAGTTGAGGGCTCTAATATAAAATTTCCCCCAAAAAAAATGTTAAAGCACTTTCAGTCACAGCATGTGAAAGTCTTTTAGTGCCCACTGTTGATGCCCAGAAAGAAAACTAAAGCCTGAGAAAACTGGTTCCTCCGAGAAAACAGCAATGCCACTTACTTTCTCAGTCTACTAAACAATGAAATGTAATGGACAGGCTAAGCTTCCTCCATCTGTACTCCCAAACTAAGCCAGACCAAGGACACTTGCTCTACCCTCCCCTGTAGTAAAACTCATGGAGATAAGACATTTTTTCCTTAGTCTACAAACATTTTTAAGGGAGAATCATCTAGGCTACAATAATGAATACTTTGAATCCTGTTCTGTCCATAAAAATGTCTAATATGGCTTAAATCTGAAGAAGTAATTTCTCCAAAAATGTCACTGCCATTTAATACACAAAATGGATTAGCAAATTATACCCCTTTAAAAAGCATTAACTTCTGAATTATAATTACCTTGGCTTCCGTGCATCTTGGTAAACAAAAAATATGCTCCAAAAATGCCTAAAAGTTCGGCTACCAAAACTCCTTTAAAGATCTTCTTTGCTAGTGGTTCCATAGTACGTGCCATCCTAAATTTAACAACAAATACGTGTAAACTTAAATGAGCATATGTAAACTACTATTACCAATTCCCTAATAACTCAAATTCATTCCCACAGTTTGGTTTATCTGTATGGGTATAAGACCCCAATATTATGGTATACTTTTTTGGTTTAGACATCCAACATACCTAGTTTTCATACTCCATGCCTGAGGGGCATGATGAACAGGACAAAATTGGATAAAGCACAGGAAAGAGATAAAATTCAAGAAAACATTGTAAAAAGAACAATTTATGGAACTAAAATTTTTTCATTGTGTAGGAAAACAGAATGGGGAAGATAGGTGAAATCAATTTTTTAGCTGCACTGGGAATTAAGAAATCATCTAAATGGATACAATATGTAAATAGCTCTTTGTAAAGTGCCCTACAAAAGTAAGTTTTTCTGAAATGGTTCTATACTTTCTATGGCTGGAGTTCTTTTATTAATATAACATATACTAATATGTATATTATATAGCATACATACTAATATAAGTATAGTATAACACAACATATACTAATAATACAGCATATACTAAACTATTAGTACAATATATACTAAACTATGTGCCATAGTTCAAGCATTTGGAGTCCAGTGGCACGATCTCAGCTCACTGCAACCTCCCCCCTGGGCTCAAACAATCCGCCCACCTCACCCTCCTAAGTAGCTGAAATCACTGGCACACACCACCATGCCTGGCTATTTTTTTGTATTTTTAGTAGACACAGGGTCTTAACACGTTGCCCAGATTGGTCTCGAACCCCTGAGCTCCAGCAATCCGCCCACCTCAGCCTCCCAAAGTGCTGAGATTACAGTTGTGAGCCACCATGCCCAGCCTATAACAGGTCTTAAAACTTTCAATGCACTACCCAAGAGGCTTATTTAAAATGCACATTCTGAGCCTCAGCCTGCAGTTCTCCACTTCCCCATCTCCAGATTCTGATTCAGCAAATCTAGGATTGGCACCCCAGTAATCTGCCCTTTCATAGACATTCTCAGTAATTTTTATACAAATGGGGGTGGAGGGTGGAAACTGATTGGGTGATGAACCAGTAAGTGGCAAAACTACGATCCATTAGATCTTGATTCTCTTCCTTTAAAAGTTAAGAAAAAGGGTTTGTGTCATTTTTTTTTCAAATTAAAGATATCGAGCTAAGAAAATAGAATATATGATTCTTACTGAATAAATTAATGTAAACCCAGGTTTTTAGTCTGCCTGCTTATAACCTCAAAGTCCAGAAAAAAACCATTCGTTTTTCATCTCAGACTTTTCTATTGTCTTCTGCGTGCTCTTTTGTCCTCAGTCCCAGCTCCCTGCTGTCAGGCGTTTTATTCCATTCCCGTCTGACCCGTTTTCAATGCCTGAGGGTGGGAGTAATCAAATAGCCTTCCTTTTGTAGGATTATCCCGCTAATATCATTACCACGTGGCCCTCCCCACCACCACCCCAAATTCCCTCATTTTGATAATGTGATCACCCTGGGAACCAAAAGATTAAAACTTTATGACTCTTATTTAAAAGAAATGAAGCAAACAAAGTTACAAGGAATTCATATATAACCAAGAGGCAGTTGAGTGGTGGGAAGGGAGAGTTGTTTTGCTCCATTCACTACAGTGCTGTACATGACTGACAGAAAATAAGTCATGCTCAGTACAGATGGCTCACTTGCGGTTTTTTTTTTTTTTTTTTTTGAGATGGAGTTTTGCTCTGTCTCCTGGGCTGGAGTGCAGTGGTATCTTGGCTCACTGCAATCTCCACCTCCCAGTTTCCAAGCAGTTCTCTGCCTCAACCTCCTGATAGCTCAGATTACAGGTGTGCCACCATGCCCAGTCCTTATTTATTTATTTATTTATTTATTTATTTAGGAGACAGAGACTTGCTCTGTTGCCCAGGCTGGAGTGCAGTGCACTGCAACCTCTGCCTCCCGGGTTCAAGTAATTCTCCTGCCTCAGCCTCCCCAGTAGCTAGGACTACAGGCACCCACCACCATGCCCAGCATATTTTTTGTATTTTAGTAGAGATGGGGTTTTGCCGTGTTGCTCAGGCTGGTCCCGAACTCCTGAGCTCAGGCAATCTGCCTGCCTTGGCCTCCCAAAGTGCTAGGATTACAGGCATGAGCCACCGAGCCTGGCCTTTTTTTTTTTTAAGACTAGGTCTTTGTCAGGTTTATCAAAGACTGTATAGTTGTATGTATGTTGTGTTGCCTCCGGTGTCTCTGTTTTGTTCCATTGGTCTATATCTCTGTTTTGGTGCCAGTACCATGCTGTTTTGATTACTGTAGCCTTGTAGTATAGTTTGAAATCCGGTAGTGTGATGCCCCCCGCTGTGTTCTTTTTGCTTAGAATTGACTTGGCTATGCGGGCTCTCTTTTGGTTCCATATGAAGTTCATGGTGTTTTTTTCCAGTTCTGTGAAGAAAGTCAATGGTAGCTTGATGGGGATAGCGTTGATTCTGTAAATTACTTTGGGCAGTATAGCCATTTTCACGATATTAATTCTTCCTAACCATGAACATGGAATGTTTCTCCATCTGTTTGTGTCCTCTCTGATTTCGTTGAGCAGTGGTTAGTAGTTCTCCTTGAAGAGGTCTCTTAAGTTCCTTGTGAGTTGTATTCCAAGGTATTTTATTCTTTTTGTAGCAATTGCAAATGGCAGTTCGCTCTTGATTTGGCTTTCTTTAAGTCTGTTAGGGATTCCATGTTTAACAAATGGTGTTGGGAAAACTGGCTAGCCATGTGCAGAAAGCAGAAACTGGACCCCTTCCTGACACCTTACACTAAAATTAACTCCAGATGGATTAAAGACTTAAACATAAGACCTGGCACCATAAAAACCCTAGAAGGAAATCTAGGCAAAACTATCCAGGACATAGGAGTAGGCAAGGACTTCATGAACAAAACACCAAAAGCATTGGCAACAAAAGCCAAAATAGACAAATGGGACCTAATGAAACTCCACAGCTTCTGCACGGCAAAAGAAACAGTCACTAGAGTGGATCGGCAACCAACAGAATGGGAAAAAATTTTCGCAGTCTACCCATCTGACAAAGGGCTGATATCCAGAATTTACAAAGAACTCAAACAGATTTACAGGAAAAAAACAAACAAGCCCATTCAAAAGTGGGCAAAGGATATGAACAGATACTTTACGAAAGAAGACATATATGAGGCCAACAATCATATGAAAAAATGCTCATCGTCACTAGTCATCAGAGAGATGCAAATCAAAACCACATTGAGATACCATCTCACGCCAGTTAGAATGGCGATCATTAAAAAATCTGGAGACAACAGATGCTGGAGAGGATGTGGAGAAAAAGGAACACTTTTACACTGTTGGTGGGAGTGTAAATTAGTTCAACCATTGTGGAAGACAGTGTGGCGATTCCTCAAGGCCTTAGAAATAGAAATTCCATTTGACCCAGCAATCCCATTACTGGGTATATATCCAAAAGACTATAAATCGTTCTACTATAAGGACACATGTACACGAATGTTCATTGCAGCACTGTTTACAATAGCAAAGACCTGGAATCAACCCAAATGCCCATTGATAATAGACTGGATTGGAAAAATGTGGCACATATACACCATGGAATATTATGCAGCAATCAGAAATGATGAGTTTGTGTCGTTTGTAGGGACATGGATGAATCTGGAGAACGTCATCCTCAGCAAACTGACACAAGAACAGAAAATGAAACACCGCATATTCTCACTCATAGGTGGGTGATGAAAAATGAGAACACATGGACATAGAAAGGGGAGTACTAAACACTGGGGTCTATTGGGGGGAAAAGGGGAGGGCCAGTGGGAGGGGGAGGTGGGGAGGGATAGCCTGGGGAGAAATGCCAAATGTGGGTGAAGGGGAGAAGAAAAGCAAAGCACACTGCCATGTGTGTACCTACGCAACTGTCTTGCATGCTCTGCTCATGTACCCCAAAACCTATAATCCAATAAAAAATTTAAAAAAAGACTAGGTCTTGCTCTGTCTCCCTGGCTGTAGTGCAGTGGTGCAATCTCGGCTCACTGCAACTTCTGTCTCCCAGGTTCAAGCGATTCTCCTGACTCAGCCTTCCGAGTAGCTGAGATTATAGGTGTGCGCCACCAGGTCTGGCTAATTTTTTGTATTTTTAGTAGGGACAAGGTTTCACCATGTTGGTCAGGCTGGTCCCGAACTCCTGACCTCAAGTGATCCTCCCGCCTCGGCCTTCCAAAGCGCTGGGATCACAGGCGTGAGCCACCGCACCCAGCCTCTTGGGGTTACTTTTTAATGTTCAAGGGATGAACAAAGACTGCGTGCAGCCAGTTCCATTATCCAAGAAATCAAAGTAAAATTTTGTTTCAAGAGAGGGCGATGCTAAGGGCTCAAAAAAATAGTCTATCTGTAGGCCAGGGTTCAAAGGAAAATAAATAAATAAAGTCCAAATCATACTGCTGCTTTGGTGTATAGTGGTGAGCATAGCTGCCTCCAAATAACATCGTACAACAAAGTATTTACCCTTTTAAAAAATATATATGTTTTGCACTCCGAGGCCCTCCTCGCCTTCAGGAGGCTGATGATAAAACTTCAGGCCCCTTTGTTACAGACCACAGAGACACAACCGGTCCACCCATAACAAAGTGACGTTTACTAGCTGCGTCAAGGGAGGCCTGGCAGAGGAGCGCCTGCCTGCCCCGCACGAGGACGGGCATCGCTCCGGGAAATAGTTTAGGTGAAGTTTAACACCAAGCCGCCTCTGACAGGTTCGGCGCAGGGTCGTCACACAGTTAACTTCACACGGGGCTGAGAAGCTGACTCGGGGACACAAGCTCAAGACAAATGAGCAACGCTGGACTGGAAGCCACGGGAATCGGGGCGGCCTCCCAGCTCAGCGCCCACAGGCGACGCGGCTGCAAGCAGCAAAGTCTCTCCCAGTCCAGCTGTGCGGAGCACGGCTTCTCCGCAGAGGTGCATCAGGTTGGCCGTCTTCGCTCCCCCGCCCCCGGCTTTTGCCGCGGTTCCCACCCAGCTCCCGCTTCCCCCGGTTCCCTGCTGCCCCCGGCTGCCCTCGGCGCTCCCAGAGCCCGCGGAACGCTCGGGCCGGGCCTGCAGGCGACACGCGCGGGTTCCCACGCAGCACGGCCAGGCCGCCGGGGCACGGTCGCGCAGCGACCCGGAAACACTCGCCTTCAGTGAACGGAGGTAATGACACCTGACTGTCCTCTACATGCCCCAGAACTGGGACGAGGACCCACGCAGAAACCTGCCCCACTCTCGGCGCACTGAACACCTTCAAATCCAATCCCTGACGAGGAGCCACGCGGCGCTGTCTCACCTCAGGTGCCTGCCGGGAAGACTGCGAATGCGAAAGGCCTGACGACGCCCCGCCCCTTCCGTCGTCGGCCCCGCCCCCACACTCGTAATTACCATTCATCGTGCATTGACTCCGATCCGAACCGACCCAAACCTGACTGCCGGCTACGTACATTATTTTACGGAATATTCGCAATAACACATGCAACAGGTGCTGAGTGTATCTCATTTTGCAGAGAAAGCAAGAGGCTTACACTGCCCACAATCACACAGCTAGTAAAAAACAATTCAGGCCCGGGCGCGGTGGCTCACGCCTGTAATCCGGCACTTTGGGAGGCCGAGGCAGGAGGATCACGAGGTCAGGGGTTCGAGAGCAGCCTGGCCAACACGGTGAAACCCCTGTCTCTAGTAAAAATACAAAAATTTATTGGGCGTGGTAGCAGGCGCCTGTAATCCCAGCTACTCGGGAGGCTGAGGGGAGAAAATCGCTTGAAGCCGGGAGGCGGAGGTTGCAGTGAGCCGACACTGCACCATTGTTGCACTCCAGCGTGGGCGACCCTGAGACGCTGTCTCAAAAAAAAAGCAGAATCACATTTGAACCCAGGACACTGACTCCATGGAGCCTGTTCTGGGTTCTTTTCCTAACACCCTGAAACCTAAAGTGTGATAGTCTCAGGGGACCAGCAACATAAGCGTCACCTGAAAATTTGTTAGAAATGCAGAGCTACTGAATCCAAAACTGCATTTTAGCCAGATCCCCAAAGAATTCGTTTGCAAAGTAACACTTGAGAAACACTGCGTATACTGCCCACTTAGATGAGGAAGAGGAAGAGAAAGACTCAAAGGGGACAAGGAAACAGAGAAGAGAAAAGGAATATAAAAGTATATTGAGGTACCATGTGCAAGACAAAGTGGAACACCCGAAATAGACACAGTGCTACCTTCATAGGAGTTCTAGTCTAGTTAGGGGTAGTTACCATAAATAACTGATGAAAAGTACACATTGATAAGGACCTTGCTTCTAATCCGAGGAATCGGTAAAGGTTTTAGAGAAGAGGCGATAGCTGGAGCTAACTCTGTCGATGCCTAGTAAAGGAAGTGCCTCTGCGAGGTGCTCTGCAATTGCCCCAAGTTTCCTAACACCCGCCTTCCCATAGTCCAGTCCATGAGGCTTATTTGCATAACTAAAGCATTATAAATTGTGAAAACTGTGAACGTGTAAACTATACTAATTTAAAGCATGTCATTGTTAGTCAAGATCACTTATTTCTACACAGATCCAGAACTCTGATCTCTTCCACTATATCAATTTCTCTGGTAACCTCTTAAAGTTTGGGCTTTGTACATTCTCTTGATCTCTTCTATCTACTCTATAGAAACTGTCTCTGGCTTGAATGTCAGTTCTATTTAATATTTTATATATTACTTTCTCTCAAACCTTTTTCATGAGCTCCCTTTCTGCATTACATTGCTTTTTATTTTGTCTGTTATTGTTTTCACCATCATAAACTATTTTTCTTAAAACTTTCAGAGCTCTACCCCTATACCACCGAAGTTCTCTCTTTTGTTTTTAATTATTGAGACAGAGTTTCACTCTTGTCACCCAGGTTGGAGTGCAATGGCGCGATCTTGGCTCACCACAACCTCCGCCTCCTGGGTTCAGGCAATTCTTCTGCCTCAGCCTCCTGAGTAGCTGGGATTACAGGCACGCGCCACCATGCCCAGCTAATTTTTTGTATTTTTTTTTTTAGTACAGATGGGGTTTCACCATGTTGACCAGGATGGTCTCGATCTCTTGACCTCGTGATCCACCCGCCTTGGCCTCCCAAAGTGCTGGGATTACAGGCGTGAGCTACCACGCCCGGCCCCGAAATTCTCTTTTCTTCTCCAACTGACACATCCACAATCTTTTTTCTCCTTCTTCTTTTTCTAATCATCCTCCTCGTCCTCCTCTTGTTTCTTCTTCTTTAGGGTCTTGCTCTGTCACCCAGACTGAAGTACAATGGCACAATCATAGCTCACCGCAGCCTTGACCTCCCAGGCTCAAGTAATCCTCCCTACCCCCCAGCCTCCCAAGTAGCTGGGACAATAGGCATGCACCACCACATCTGGCTAATTAAAAATATATATATATATGTATTTTCCAACTCCTATGTTGCCCAGGCTAGTCTCCAACTCCCGGGCTCAAGTGGTCCTCCTTCCTTAGCCTCCCAAGTGTTAGAAATACAGCTGTGAGCCACCATGCCTGCCCTTCAAACTTTTTTAAAAAAAAAGAATAGCCAAGTATAGTAGTAAGAAGGGGGAAGGTAGTACAACCACAATCTGTAAAAATTAACCCACAATAAATATTTTCTTATTAAAAGCACCCACCATGACTTCCATGAAACATTTTGTTAAATACCATTTAAGACACTATGCATTGAGCTTCCAGGCCTGTCTTTGTCCACTTGGACTGCTATAACCAAATGCCATAAACTGATGGCTAATAATCAACAGAAATTTATTTCTCATGATTCTAAAGATTCAAAATCAGGGTATCAGCAGATTCAACATCTGGTAAAGATCAGACCAATTTTCTGGTTTTTGAGATAGTGCCTTCTCACTGTGTCCTCACATGGTACAAGGGGCAAGGGTCTCTCTGGGGCCTCTTTTAAAAGGACACTAATCCTTGGCTGGGCATGGTGGCTCACACCTGTAATCCCAGCACTTTGGGAGGCCAAGGTGGTTGGACTACCTGAGGTGAGGAGTTCGAGACCAGCCTGGCCAACATGGTGAAACACCATCTCTACCAAAAACACAAAAATTAGCTGGGCATGGTGGCACATGCCTGTAGTCCTAGCTATGCTGGAGGCTGAGGCAGGAGAATTGCTTGAACTTAGGAGGCAGAAGTTGTACCCTGGGTGACAGAGTGAGACGCCATCTCAAAATAGATAAATAAACAAACAAACAAATAAATAAATAGTCACTAATCCCATTCATGAGGGCAGAGCCCTCACAACCTAATCACTGCCCAAAGGCCCTTCATCCTAATACCAGCACCTAGGAGATTTCAACATAAGAGTTTAGGGAGAACACAAATTTTCACACTGCATAGCAAGGCTCCATCCACTACATTGGTGTGAAATACCAGAATATCAGTGTTAAAAGTACCAGATTGACAAAGCAAGATGAAAAGGCCATTGGGGCCAGGCGAGGTGGCTCACGTCAGGCCTCCAAGTCCAAGCCTGGCCATTATAGCATTGGTGACCTGCACATATACCTCCTGAGGGTTTTTGCTGAGCCAGAAAGTCAGAAGTAACCAGATGGCCACGAAGAGAAGTGAAATAACTAGTTCCTGCCTCAACTGATTGTTCTCCCCCTGCAAAGTTCGGCCATTGCGCCTGCTCAGCCTTACGAAGCTTCCCCTTTAGACATTAGGTTTCTCAAGACCCCCAGCCCTGTAACTATGTAATTACCATATCCTCCCCTCTGCTTGCAACCAATAACCCCCATCCTTATGACTGTGCCTACTTGTAATAGATAACCCCTACCCTTGTGACCATGCATTCTGTGATGCCCTTCCCCTCCCTAAAATAGATTACCACCTTTAATTGACCATTTGCCCCAACCTATAAAACCAGCTCTTATCCCACTGCCCTCTGCTGACTCTCTTTTCAGACTCAGCCCACCCACACCTGGGTGAATAAACAGCCATGTTGCCCACAGAAAGCCTGTTTGGGGGGGTCTCTTTACGTAAGTGATGTGCTTAACAGCTCACACCTGTAATCCCAGCATTTTGGGAGGCCAAGGTGGACAGATCACCTGAGGTCAGGAGTTTGAGACCAGCCTGGCCAACAAGGAGAAATCCCATCTTTACTAAAAATACAAAAATTAGCTGGGTGAGGTGGAGCACACCTGTAATCACAGCTACTCAGGAGGCCGAAGCAGGAGAATCACTTGAAACCAGGATGCAGAGGTTACAGTTAGCCAAGATCATGCCACTGCACTCCAGCCTGGGCAGCCTGAGACTCCATCTCAAAAAAGAGAGAGAGAGAAAATAGAGAGGAAAGAAAGGTCATTGGAATGGTTCAGACTGAAAAAAGAAAAGGGGAGAAAAGCTTAAAGAAACAATAACAAGACTCACCAACTTGGGCCTAGCAGAATGGCTCCTGCAAAGAACGGTGCCAAGGAGAAATCAGACTATTCTGCCATCAATGAGGTGGTGACCCGAGAATACACCAACATTCACAAGCACATCCATGGAGTGGGCTTCAAGAAGCATGTCCCCCGGGAACTCAAAGAGATCTGGAAATTTTGCCATGAAGGAGATGAGAACTCCAGATGTGTGCCCTGATACCAGGCTTAACAAAGTTGTCCTTGCCAAAGGAATAAGGAAGGACCCATACTGTATTCACGTGCGGTTGTCCAGAGGACATAATGAGTTTGAAGACTCACCAAATAAGCTGCATACTTTGATTACCTATGTACCTGTTAACATTTTCAAAAATCTCCAGACAGTCAGCCAGGCACGGTGGCTCATGCCTGTAACCCCAGCACTTTGGGAAGCCAAGATGGTCAGATCAATTGAGGTCAGGAGTTCAAGACCAGTTTGGCTGACATGGTGAAACCCCATCTCTACTAAAAATACAAAAAAAAAACAATTAGCAAGATCACACCACTGCACTCCACCCTGGGTGACAGAGCAAGACTTTGTCTAAAGAAAAAAAAAAAAAAAAAAAAATATATATATATATATATATATATATATAGAGAGAGAGAGAGAGAGAGAGAGAGAGAGAGAGAAAGTCAATGTGGATAAGAACTAACCACTGAATCTTCAACTACATCAAATATAGTTATAAAATTGCCTTCACCAAAAAAATACCAGAAATGATAAGAAAGACTGAAATAATTGTATAGAAATGTTATCATTTCTTCTGGGAAATGTATATAAACTAATAATGGTATTGTACAAAGTTTGACATCTCCATAAATATTTTTTATACATTCTGAACCCCACTATAAATTTCACAAAC